TAGACAATCCATTCATAGTTTCGTACGGTGTACACTACGACTGATATAGGAGTAGACGTCGCGCGCTAGCAGATTTCAAATATTGTACCGAGAGCTCAGTTGATCGAGAACCGCTTAGCTGTATACAAGCTGTATACAAGTGTATACAGTTGTATACAGCTAAGCGGTTCTCGATCAACTGAGCTCTCGGTACAATATTTGAAATCTGCTAGCGCGCGACGTCTACTCCTATATCAGTCGTAGTGTACACAAGTTGTAAATTGTATAATAATATATTTGATTTATTTTGCACTTGCAAAACTAGGTGAAAGCGAAAAATGCGAAACACTCTTAGAATATTAATCAAATCTCTAAAAGGTTAGAACATTTGTAATTTTTAGATCAGCATTTGTGATCGCATATTCAGTCAAGTTGATCTTTTTTTTTGAAAATGAAAGATATTTTTTACAGTTTTTAATTATTATTTTTAATTTTATTAACTTCATTATATGAAATCGTCATTAGTTCCAGATTTTTTATGTGTAATTGGTTGTTTTTTTTATATGAGAAGCTTGTCATCATCATCAATCAGCCAATCGCGTCCACTGCTGGACATAGGCCTCCCTCAGTTCTTTCCAGTGTTCTCTACACTGGGCCGCTTGTAGCCAGTTTCCCGCTACACGTTTAATGTCATCGGTCCATCTAGTCGGTGGTCGTCCTCGGCTTCTTTTATAATTTCTAGGCCTCCATTCCATAATACGTCTTGTCCACCGTCCATCTTGTGTTCTGGCTAAGTGCCGTGCCCAGTTCCACTTAAGCGTCGTGGTTCTTTCGATGACGTCTTGAACTCCTGATCTTCGCCTGATTTGTTGGTTTGTTATGTGGTCTCGAAGGCTCACGTTCAGCATTGCACGTTCCATGGCTCGTTGTGTAACTCTAAGATTATTCGCAAATTTTTGCGTGAGTGTTAAAGTCTCTGCTCCATAAGTTTGTACAGGTAAAACACATTGGTTATAAACCTTTCGCTTGAGACACATGGGAATTGAACTTTTTAGAATATGGCTTAATTTGCCAAATGCTGCCCATGTTAGACCTATTCGCCTCTGTATTTCATGTGTTTGATTGTCTCTGCTTATTTTGATTTCGTGTCCCAGATATTTTTGTAAGTGTCTGTTTGTTGTATGGTATTATTGTCAATAGTTATATTTCCACTCATTACGAGATTTGTTATAATTTTAGTTTTCTCAAAGTTTATCTCTAATCCTGCTCTTTCAGACAGACTTTTAAGCGAATGCATCATAGAAACTGTATCATGTAAGTTATCTGCGATTAATACAACATCATCTGCAAACCTTAGGTGATTTAATCTTTCTCCATCTATATTGATGCCCATATTTTGCCATTGAGTACCCTTAAATATTGACTCTAGAGCTGCCGTGAACAATTTTGGTGAAATATTGTCTCCTTGTCTAACTCCTCGACCTAAGCTGAATTTTTCTGTGTCTTCGTGCAGTCGTATACTTGATGTAGCGTTCTAGTAGATATTTTTGATTAGTGTCGTGTACCTGTAATCTATTCGGCTTTGATTTAGGGCTTCCAGTATTGTTTCAAACTCTACAGAATCAAAAGCCTTCTCGTAATCGACAAATGCAAGAACCAGTGGTATGTTGTACTCGATGCACTTTTCTATTAAGATCTTTATGGTATGCAAATGGTCATTTGTGCCATATCCTGCCCTGAAGCCTGCCTGTTCTTTGGGCTGATAGAAATCAAGTTTAGGAGTTAGCCTCTTTGTTAAGATTTTCATAAAGAGTTTGTATGTGTCAAGAGGCTATAATTTTCTAATTTATTAATATCGCCTTTTTTGTGTAACAAGACTATTACTGCATTGTTCCAGTCTTTTGGAATCGTACCCGCATGTAAGCAGTTAGTAAACAGTTCGCTTACTGATTTTAATAAAATTTCTCTACCTGCTTTTATTGCCTCGATAACGAGTCCATCATCACCAGGCGATCGATGGTTCTTTATTTCCTTTAAAGCTGCTCTTACTTCTGACACAGTAATGGGTAAAAGTATTTCCGATCCCTGATTTATGAGAGTCTTTACTAGTGTCGGGAAATTGTCTTGTGGTCTTTGGCTGGTATAGAGGTCTTTATAAAATTCTCTAGTTATTTTCAGAATGTTTTGTTTATCTGTTGCTGCCTTTCCGTCTTTATCTCTCAGCTTGTATATTTCTTTTTTACTATGCGTAAGTTTTCTTTTCATTTTTCTTGCAAAATTTGAGTTGTGCGTTTCTAACTGAGTCTGTTATTAATTTATTGTGATCGTCGATACTTAGAGGTTTGGGATTATTACTCTGTAAAGTTTCGGCTATATTTCTTATGTATGCTTCTGGATGATTTGGTGAATTCCAAACTATGCGTTTACAACTGTTTATCATCTTTGCTGTTTCTTTTTGTAGATTGATCGTTACTCTAGCTCTTACTGGTCTGTGGTCGCTTCCTACTGATAGTTAATTGAGTACAGTGACATCTTGAATAATTTGCTTTTTGTCTGTTATTATATAATCATATTCGTTCTTAGTTTTTCCGTCTGGACTAGCCCACGTCCATTTTCTATTCTGTTTCTTCTTAAAAAAGGTGTTCATTGCATACAGTTTGTGTTGCAGTAGAAAGTTGGTAAGCATTTCGCCTCTTTCGTTTCTTACTCCGATTCCAAAATCTCCGATTGCCACTTCTTGTTCGTCTTTTTTCCTTCCGAGTTTCCCGTTAAAATCTCCAATTATCAGATTGTAATGAGCCGGTTCCTGCTTTTTTGCTCTTTCGATTTCCTCATAGAAGGCTTCGACAATTTCATCTTCGTAATCGCTGGTGGGGGCGTATACCTGGATTATTTTCAGATTGTATCTCTTATTTAGTCTTAGATTTATATACATAACTCTTGGGGAAATGCAGTCAATGCTCTGTATATTTTTCTGTAATTTTTTGTGTACTAATAAACCTATTCCTCCAGTTGTCGATTCCGTTTCCCCTTTATAGTGGAATATGTTTCCTGATTTTAGTTTGATCTGATCTTCACCTCTTCTTTTGATTTCGCTAATTCCTATAATATCCCATTTCACATGTTTGAGTTCTTCCTCCAGTTCTGTCATTTTTTCATCCTTAGATAAAGTTCTTACATTATACGTAATTATGTGCAACGTTCGTCGTTCTTGGTAGCCTCTTACATCCCGGGGATTCTTCGCACCCTCTACCCGCTGTCCGTGAGTCCTACCGCTACCTTGGTCGGGAACTAGCGAGCTGCCGGGGACTGAGGGCCGTTTTCTTGAATGTCTGTTCATGCTGAGGGGGTTTTGGCATTTAAACACCACGCTTACCAGGTGGGTTGGTGAGTTGGTTTGGGAAATTGGTAGGATAGTAGGTATTGGGTAGGAATGGGGTTAGGACATGATTTCTCTCCATAGGAGTTAAGAGAGAATCAAGGCTCGCGTAGGGCAGGATCGCATCCCTGAAGTAAGTCTATCCTCCACTGGGATTGTGGAAGAGTACCTACCCGCTATCCACAAAGCTTGTAAAACTCTTAAAATGTCATTGATATATTGCGTCATAAACTAAAAATATTACGTAAAGATACATTGAAAGAGAAGATCTAAATACTGTGGGACAATATAAACCATATAAATATGCCATATTAACAAAAAGGAGAAAATAATAAAATCGTAGTCAAAAAGGAGTACCTTCACTACTAATACACAAATCAGAAAATATTTAGAATACGTACTACATTCCAAAAACCGTGAAAGTTGCAGAACGTGACGTAAGAGTACCGTCTTATCAGTATCAATATTTTACCATTCAGGGAATGCGGTGAAGAAAACATCAACAAACTGGTAAAAAATAATAGAACCTTCAAAAAAGTATCTACGCAAAACCAAATAAATGAAAAAGATTGGATGACGGACGAAATACGAAACTTGATGAACAAAAGAAGAGTATATAACGACAAAAATAAATCATTGTACCAGCAAACACAAAACGAAATACGGGGACAAATTCGAGTAGCAAAAAAAACTGGTGAAAAGAAAAATGTGACGAAATAGAAATGCTTCAAAATAAACATGGCAGCTTTAATTTACATAGCAAAATAACAGAACTAACTACAAGATCAAAATACAAAATATACTAGTTGATGAAAAGGGAGACACAGTAATGGATACAGAAAAATTGATGGTATGGGCAAACTATATAGAACAGCTGTTTAACGATAAACAAGACAAAATAGATAACGAATATTTCGTTGAGGAGACTGGACCAGAAATAACAGAAAGTGAAGTAAAACACACAATTAAAGAAATGAATACTGAAAAAGCAGTAGGACCAGGCGAAATACAGAGACATGGACTTTAAATAAACAAGGTCTCAATAAATTGAAAGCATTTGGAATGTGAACATATCGAAGAATACTTAGAATCTCCTGGACAGACAGAATAACCAATGAAGAAGGACTAAGAAGGATAGTGAACACCAGGGAGATTCCATCAAAATAAGAAAACTACAATATCTTGGTCATATAACACGTGATGACAGATATTAATTCCTAAAACTAATAATGTAGGGAAAGATTGAAGGAAAGCGTAGCATAGGTAAAAGAAGAATGTCCTGGCTGAGGAACCTCGGAGAATGGTGGATGCAGCTCAACTAAACTCTTTCGGGCTGTAGTGTCAAAATAGTTAGAATAGCAGTGATGATTGCCAACCTTCGTCGTGGGAATGGCACGCAAAGGAGAAGACCATTTCAGTATCGGTACTACCCGATAAAAAATAATAAGTATTTCACAAAAGCCTATAAACCAGATTGGTATCTAATAACTTAACTAACCCCTGGAAAAATAGTACCTGTGTTTAAGGTTCAAAGGCTGTGTATTTGTTACACAGTACTACAAAAAACCTCTTTTGTAGGATGGTTGTCATTATTATTCATATCATATAGGATCAATGATTTATATAATATTTTGGTACTTACCCGTAGATCGCGTCCTTGTCTCTCTTCCCGACATCAGGTACGGCTCCTCCCATGACGTGGTTCGCCGTGGGGTTAACATGGTTCGAGTGATAAGGGTGCATTGCATGGTTCAAATGGGGGGAGTGATGAAGACCTGGTAAACTAGGCCGATGGGCCACGTGTGGTTCGTACATGCCCCCTGCCGCGCCGTCCATGTACCCCGGATGGATACCATCATCATACTGGAAGAAACAGAAGAAAAGTAAGAAATTTTGCCAAGGTTGAATGGAAAATGTGTACTGCAGTGTCCTATAAGCAGAAATGGCGATAATGGGACAATGATATTGCTGATACATTGATAATTCCAGTATTTTTACTATGAATTTATTTAGTATACTACTGCTACTATTATGTTACATTCTACGCTATTATTATTTAAAAACTGTACCGATTACGAGTCGTATATTGCTTATTAAACATTTAAAACTAGTCCTAAGACATATTCTTTGGTAGTTTGGAGGGTGTAGATATCGATCACGACAGAACTCTGTTAAGAATACTATAAACTCCTGCTTGGCAACATTCAAAAGTACTAAAGATATACGGCATTTTTTTTTGTAGTTGACGACGACTTTTAACAACATTATATTTTATTATATTCCGTCGTTGTCAATCATCTTCAATCTAATAAACACACGCGAAGAATAACACCAGTAACGACACTAAATACTTTAGACTTAACATAGATATAAGTCAGTAAAACGTTATAAAAAGTTAAATAAAATTGTCTCTTGACAAATTGTTGGCTCAACAGCAGTACAGGTTTGATGTATTGCACTAAATGTTTATATTTTTAATCTGGCTCCTCTCCAGTGCTACTCCTTCCGGTATATATTCATAATTTTTGAATGTTATTCTAAGTTCTTTGCTTTGTTTGAGTTTGTAATTAAAGTACTGTTGAGTCCTACTGCGTACCTTTATCCTATTACAACATAAGTAATGTTTACTATTACTAATTTGTTTTTAATTTATGTGTGTATCACTATATGATTTATGTTTAAGTTAATCAAACCATTCTGATGAAATAAAGAGACTCGCGGAAAAATACGTTATTAATTTCCAAAAATGACAGATTATACATGTATCATGGAAAGCTGCTCAAAAATCATAGAAAACTGTCATCACTAAATCCAAATATACAAAAAAAGTAACACGAATGCTAATGAGGTAGGTAAGGATAGGAATGTTACTTTTCTACCTTTTCAAATAATACTCCAGTGATACTACAGATATCATCAATTATCTAACGAAGCTGGTGATAAATGATGACGAAAAAGATGACAATCTTTCCTTTAGTGGTAAAACAGACGCCAATTTAAACAAATTTGTTTATATGATTTTAGCATCTACAATGACACTTCAGTCTGTTTAAATAATGGAAGTGTTTTTGGTGTTTGATCATTGGAAGAATGGTCACCAGTATTTATCAGATCGGCGCATCATAACTGTTCATCCTAGTTCATCATAGTTCGCGAAGAAATATGTGCAGCAAATATTAGTTAATAGATTTTCTTCTGGTATTTTCTCTTTCATTAATGAAGTCTTCGAAAACTTAGGATTTCTCAATTTGTTTTTCAGTCATTACCTCAGAACTCGCTGAAGCATTAATTACTCCAAATTTCTTCGCATAAACCCAAGATGGTGCCGTTTTTCAACTTTTGTTCTAAATCTTTTATTTAAAAGTCTAGCAGCAATGTAGTTATCTTCGTCAAGATTAAGGATTGCTGTGGTGACTGCATATATCGGTCCCAAGAGCTCAATCAATACATTAATATTAAAAACTGATCCTCTGTTTAGATAACTGGAAAACAGACAAATCGAAGTAGATAACTTTGTCGAAGGTTGAGACAAAAGCAGATACAGAATGAAGACTCGATATGATCTGCAAACTAGTGGACGTATTTTTGTGAGAAGGCAACAGATTTGGTTATAAGACTCACAAAAGGAAAGGAAAATCCACGAACGACCAGCTTAACTGTCAAGGTCCCTATACGATCATTTAAAAGATTAGCGATTTAGCTTATGCTTAAAATTCTGCTTTAGACGAATAGGTTAAGAGGAACATTTCAACGATTGTTTACATGTTTAAATGTTTACTGTGCAATGAAGAGCTACGACCAGACAAAACTCATTCTCTGAAGATAATGAATGACCAAGCAGCAATTTCTTGAGTTTTAAATGACAAATCTTACAAAGTTTGTCAAAATTGAGTTTTTCGATTTCCCAAAAATTTGATTTATGTAAGACTAATCACATTACCATCAAATTAATACCCATATGTCGCAGGTAAACATGTTTAGCATATTTTTTTAATTATTCCTAATCGGAGATTCATAATGAAGTTTTTGTATATTTACCGACACAGTTATTATTTTTGGAAGTTTCATGTCACGACTACATTTAGATATGTAAATTCGAGGTGATTAACATTGAATTTTATTAAAAAAGAAACGGCTGTCAGTCATTACAACACCTCGTGAAGTATGTGCGTATGTACGTATTATTTTGTACCGAGTTGATTTGTAGAATACATGAAACTGAAATGAAGTCATTCAAATATTCGGTGTAAACTGGAAAATGTTAAATATTGATAATAGAGTAAATAAGTTACCTCATATTTTTAAAAAAATAGTCCAGTCGGGTTAGACCAAAAAAGGCCAAAGTATTAACTTAAAATCGCGACTGAATTTCGCCGCCCCGTTAGCGGCCGACTTGAATTTAAAGGAGAACTGTTTTTGCTCAATATCTCCGCCATTTGTAATTTTTCGGCAAAAATGGTACGGACTAAAATTATTTCAAATAGGATTTCTTGCAATTTTTTCTTAAGAATTTTTTTCGCGTGGTCAAAAGGCAGCTGGCAAAAAAGCGCGTGTAAGAGATTTCATAAAAAAGTTAAGAGGTAAAGAAACACATTATTGTAGAAGTAAATCAAAGCGCATCTATTTTGATCAGAATATAAACATTACAAAAGTATGTAAAATGTATAATAATTTACAAGAAGAAATCTCGAACAAAGTATCAAAAGGGATGTTTCGAAGAATTTTTCAAACCTTTAATATTGGATTTCGCTCCCCAGCGTCGGATCTGTGTAGTTACAAAATAAAACATTTCATCAAAACCACAAAGGATCCAGCTAAGAAGATTGAGAACATTACCAAACATAACCAACAAGCGACTTCACGCAATTCATGCAGCCGTATTTTATAAGGCTATGAAAAAAGAAGAGACTGGTTCACTCATTATGTGCTTCGACTTACAGCAGAATCAACAGTTACCAAAATGACCGATTCAAGAAGAATATTACTCTAGTCAAATTGGATTATACTGTTTCTGTGTTGTTGAAATTAACGGAAAGAACCGACATTTTGTATTTGGATATACGATGAAGCTGGAAAGTGTTCCACTGAGGTCTCTTCAGCTATTTTGTAACAGCTTCAAAGCCTTAATCTACCTGAAAATGTTACATCAATCAGACTTTTTTGTCATGGGTGTGGTCCTCAAAATAAAAAAAAACAATTTCGATTTGCATACACTTATGTTTTTTTGATCAAAACTAAATACAAAGTAACAGACATCATATCTACATTTCCTGTCCACCGAGTGTTTGGACGAGTAGAAAAATTGTAGCGTAAACAGCCAAGTATCATACACAAAGAAACCTACATCGATGTCATCATCATCATACAGAAGTCTTTTATTAACAGAAAAAGGCTGCTTTAAGCATCTGGACGGTGTTTCAGAGAATTTTCATGAAAAGAGAAGTTGTTAATCGACAAACTAAACTCTTTGTCAGAGGCCTAATGAATTTTGTGTTTGAATGTGAGACGGAGGCGTGGAAATCTTTTCAAAATAAAGGTTGGCCTGCTAAAAAATGCGCCTTATTAGAGATAGATAAGTTGCCACTCGGTTACAGCATATCTCAAGCCAAAAAGTAAGATGTTGACAAGCTTTTGACGAAGATCTTTGGGGAAGAATGGAAGGACGATCAAACACTTTATTGGTATCTTCGTATCGTTTCTAACAACGTCCCTGAAACAGAAGAAGCTGACTGTCTAGAGGAAGATGTTGAGATGCACTTTGAGTTTTAAATTTTATACATTTAACTTTTGATTTTATACTCATACGTCTTAAAGTTATTGCTGTTTATATCAAATTTATTGTTTTGTAAGTTCATTTTTTGACCTATACCTATGTTTATGATCAATCAAAAGAGGATTAGCACTCATAGAGTTTATTCAAAAGAAGTTTGGTCTGTACCGGTCGATCCAAACGCGTTTAGTCCATTGAATAAATATATTTTTTATAAAATAAGCACATAATATTTTACTTTTATATTTATTTTTAGTGTCCAGAACTACCAATCTATCATTAGAAAAAATGATTGTCATAACCACCAACGTGGAAAATAAAGAAATGGCAACAGGCCATAAACAGGAACGAAACTGTCTCGTGAACAAAGGCCCAGTTTATCGATCGGCGATATTCGAAAGAGACTTATTGCAATCAAAATGGAGCAATGTTTTGTGTGTGGAGAAGCAACAACCAAAAATAATGTTACAGTAAAAAATGTGGAGTTCAAACTCTTTTATCAGCATTACTTATAATGATGAAGAACAGTTGAGTTGTAGGTATGACCAACATTCGACTTTAAAAACTACTTCAAAATCGTAGCAATAAAACTTCTCGAATATACGCCAATGAATTAATATCAAGCTTCCGAACGTTTGACAAGTCGAAAAGTCTGATAATTCGAGACAAAAATATGTTATTTCGTGCAACTCACTATAAATATTCTTCACTGTATGTAGATATAGATGTTAAGGGATGGTTCCGCAAGGAGTCAAGCAGAACAGTTTGAAAAATATAAAAATCTGGGAATATGTGTACTAATAACCCATACTGTATTGTAAAATAACTAACAAAGTATGATTAAATGAAGAATTAACTCTTTAAGGTTAAGCCTATCTGAAAATTATAAAAAATCGATGAATGACGACTAAACAACTACCAGTAGATGAACCTATTGTATTAAAACGTGAAAACAAAGACAGAATGCTATTAAAACGGAGAAGCACGAACTACAGCATTACTCTAGTTTAGAAACGCTGATTGTTTTTATAGCAATTTGGCCGACAAATCTGCATACTAAGTAAAT